CGACCTCGCTGTGACTATTGACGGCGTCGAAGTTACGGCCTTAGTTGATAGGGGTGCAGACTTCCCCATATTGAGTGAACGATTGGCAGACAAACTCAAGAAATTCAGGATGGAATGGATGGGCCCTTATATCCGAAATGCTGGAGGCCAGATAATGACTGCCACGGGAAAATGTACAGCAAGACTCACGATTGAGAATGTGGCTTTTGTAGCCACAATTCTGGTCCTACCGGAGTGCTGCAAACCTATGATACTGGGAATGGACTTCTTAAAAGGACACGGTGCTGTGGTCAACATACGCGATGGTGTGATCACATTCGCCGCTGACAAGTCTGTGACCCATGATCCAGACGAAGAACCCAGGGTGTTACGTGTGGTCGACGACGACGTCTGCGTGCCACCTCTGCCATGTAGTCTTGTTTCCATGTGTTGCGGCGTGCACTGTAATGAAGATGCCATAGCCGAACGCATCACTGCCCTTCTTTTTCGCCAAGGCATCTCCATTGCTCGCGGCATCGTCAGATTAGTGGATGGGCGCGCAGAGGTGCAGAGGTGCTTCTGACCAACTTCACAAATGAGCGCCGGCATATCGGTAAAGGCACAGCTGTGGCGTACCTCGAAGGGCTCGACTACTCTCACGACTGTCTTCTAATGCAAGGGGAAGCCACAGCTCAATCACCTCCACATACACCACCAGTCGATATCGGTTCGAGTCTAACACCGACTGAAAGATGCCGCCTTATGGAGCTGCTCGACCAGTTCAAGGACTGCTTCTCATCGACATCACGAGTGGGTCAAACGCCTCTGACTAAGCATCGCATCATTACGGAAGACGCAACAAGACCAATTCGATAGAACCAACATCGTGTCGCTCAGAAAGAACGTGAGGTAATCCAGCAGCAAGTCAAGAAGATGCTATAGGATGATGTAATCCAACCATCAAAGAGTCCTTGGGCATCGCCAGTGGTACTCGTGAAAAAGAATGACGGCAGCTTGCGTTTCTGCATGTATTATTGTAAGCTAAACCACGTTACAAAAAAAGACGTTTATCCATTACCACGCATCAATGACTCTTTGGACAGGCTACGGCATGCACGCTACTTCTCGTCAATGGACCTTAAAAGTGGATGCCGGCAAATAGAAGTAAAAGACGGCGACCGAGATAAGACCGCCTTCGTGATGCCAGACGAGCTTTATGAATTCAAAGTCCTACAATTCGGTCTATGCTCAGCCCCAGCCACGTTTCAGAGACTAATAGATAGCGTTCTGTCCGGCCTGAAATGGAAAACAAGCCTTGTGTACTTCGACGACGTGATCGTTTTTTCGGCCACGTTTAAAGAGCAACCCCAGGTGGTCAAAATTTCCAGAGTCCTCCACTACGGCGTCTCTCATAATCATATGGTGGTTTTGGGACGTTAAACCCCACATATCAATCAAATCAATGTTTAAAGAGTATCTAAAGTGGCTACTGTCAGTCCTTCAAGCCATACGGTCCACTGGACTCACACTCGAACCGGAAAATGTCACTTCGGCTTCGAAGAACTCCAGCTCCTGGGACACGTGATCAGTCGCGAAGGTGTAAAGCCTGACCCAGATAAAACGGCAGCCGTCGCAAAGTTCGCAAGGCCTGTTAACAAGAGGGCGGTCAGGCGTTTTCTGGGTCTCTGCGCCTTGATTAATATGTGGGGTTTAACGTCCCAAAACCACTATATGATTATGAGAGACGCCGTAGTGGAGGGCTCCGGAAATTTAGACCACCTGGGGTTCTTTAACGTGCACCCAAATCTGAGCACACGGGCCTACAACATTTCCGCCTTCATCGAAAATGCAGCCGCCGAAGCCGGGATTCGAACCCGCGCCCTGCAGGTCAGCAGCCGAGTACCTTAGCCACTAGACCACCGCGGCGGGGCCGGGACTCTGCGCCTACTACCGGCAATTTATAGCAGGCTTTGCACACATCGCCTCTTCACTCACCCGCCTTAGAAGGGAGACGTCACATTTGTATGGGGTGAAGAGCAAGAAGCGTCGTTCAACGAGCTACGACAGCGTCTACAAACTCCACCTGCCCTCGCTCACTTCGACGAGAATGCACCAACTGCCATCCATACAGACGCCAGCAATGTGGGCCTAGGTGCTGTTCTTGTCGAATGCCAAGATGGTGTGGAGAGAGTGGTTGCCTACGGTAGCAGGACGTTGACACGCTCCGAGTCCAACTACTCAACAACAGAGAAGGAGTGTTTGGCTGTCGTTTCGGCAGTTGCGAAGTTCCGCCCGTACTTATAAGCCGCGCTAATCAAGTCGTAAGCGACCACCACTCGCTTTGTTGGTTGACCAACATGAAAAACCCATCAGGACGTTTAGCATGATGGAGAGCTTACGGCTCCAAGAGTACGACATGGACGTAGTTTACAAGTTCGGAAGGCAACACTTAGACACCGACTGATTGTCAAGGCCACCGATTGAATCACCGGCTGTAGAGGATGATGAATTCACAAGTTTTTTAAGAGTTGTTGATGCAGCTATCATTTCTCGGCTACAACAAGATGATCGGGAGTTCAACTCGCTTATAGAGTTCTCGATCGGACGAGCCGCCAATGCACAAAGCGTGTTTTCGAAGACCTTATCGTCATTCTGTTTACGGGATGGAATTCTGTACAAAAATAATTTTTATCAACAGGTAGAAGCTATCTGCTGGTAGTTCCTAGAGCTCTCCGCAGCAGTTTTACAAGCCTGCCATGACAAAGCCACTGCGGGCCACCTCGGTTTCACAAGAACACTGACACGCATCAGAGAAAAATATTACTGGCCAAGAATCGCAGCAGAGGTGAAACATTACGTCCGAATATGCACTGACTGTCAGCGGCGCAAGGTACCACCTGTCAAACCCGCTGGGCTATTACATCCTGTGCCCGTGCCAGAAACCCCGTCTTCACAAATCGGAATGGATCTGCTGGGCCCATTCCCAACATCGGACAGCGGCAACAAACGGGTTATAGTGGCGACGGACTACCTCACCCGATACGCGGAAACCAAGGCAATCGCGAGTGGCACTGTAGCTGCAGCGGCCCAGTTCTTCATTGAGAACATTGTCCTGAGACATGGTGCTCCATCTGTCGTCATAACAGACAAAGGTACCGCGTTTACAGCCGAGCTTTTGCGTGCACTGTGCTTACGCTCAGTGGCACAGCGCACAGGGAAACGACAGCTTACCACCCACAAACGAATGGGCTAACAGAACGACTTAACAAGACAATCGCTGACATGCTTTGCATGTACGTCGACGTGGAACACAAGAATTGGGACCGAATATTGCCGTACATCACATTCGCGTATATTACGGTGCGCCAGGAAACAACAAAAATGACGCCGTTCGCACTAATTCATGGCAGAGAAGTTTCTACAATGCTTGACGCCATGCTGCCTTACGACTGCAATGATTCAGAGACAGACGCCGCAGACTTCACTGAGCGCGCTGAGGAAGCAAGGCAGCTTGCCCGCATCAGAATAATGAACCAGCAGCAACTTGATGCCCAACGGTACAACCTTCGCCATCGATGCGTCATTTATCAACCAGGAGATAAAGTCTGGGTTTGGTTTTCTGTACGACGACGAGGCCTCTCAGAGAAACTCCTATGCCGACACTTCGGACCCTACAAGGTTTTGAGCCGTCTTAGTGACGTGACGTACGAAGTCATGCCCGACGCCTCCTTCTGTTCGAAACGTCGCCAGCATGTAGACGGTGCACGTAGTTCGCATGAAACTTTACTACTCTCAGTGATTTTAACACCCGCTGGCCGCATCTATACCTGTTGAGCATCGGGACGATGCTCACTCTGGCGGGAGGGTCTTAGTGGCCTTCTCAGAGAGCGTCTTTACAGGTTCCACTGTCCAAGTTTTTAAATACACCCCCTTTAATTTATAACCCACGACAATATGGTGGTTTTGGGACGTTAAAGCACACATGTCGACAATGGAATGTGGAACACAAAGGGACGGAGCTGCTGGGGATCCACCGGGTGCTAAACTTCAAGTGATCCCGCACGTGCACAAGCTGTCCCATAACAAAAAAGGTCGATGCAAGGCATGGTGTGGCTGTGCACTATTATGCGCCAGATCAGCTCGCCAGGTTGTGTTTGCGCATTTGCAATGGCAACAACGCGGTTGCCTGAAAAAGCATGAGAACGCCTTCGTTATATGTTCCATGGGAGTTGTATACTCAATTCCTTTATGCTGCGATAACGCGTACATTGGCATTACCGAGAGATGCCTAAATGGCCGGCTTAGGGAGCATGCGCTAAAGGTCAAGAAATATAAAGATAAGTACGCACATCTTGTTTACATATTGCCGCGTGTGGCTGTGAACCGCGATTCTCTGATACGAAGGTTCTTAGAAGAAGCTCGGATTTATCTGCAAGTGTGCTGTTGGAAGCAAATTTTATCGAAAAAAATAAGAATATCTGTGTCAGCGAGCCCTTCTCGGTATTACATCAACAGGATATATCTTTTATCGAGGCAAGGATTTAGTGATTCTAGCTGGTTTATCCGCGTTTCGCTTTCACCTTTTTTATGTGTTCCTTAATGTATGGCAGCGCTATATTCCTCACGTGCTGTTGGCTTTTCACATGCGCAGCTCTGTTTATTTTTGCCATTACGCATTCATCTGTACATATATAAGAAGGTCATATCGGAGCAATAAACAGTTGGTAGTGAGCGCTGCGTGCCGTGTGTGTTACTCGGGTGGATATGTGAGTGCTTGTGTGAGTGTTTGCGAGAGTCAAGGTTGCTCTAAATTCTTACAGTATGACAAATAACCGACTAGAACAACAAATATCATTGGGTCATAAATGATTGTTTATATTGTTGGTTTGATTGCTTGCTGAGATGCTGGCTGTTCTATGCGCTGACGACCACAAACCTAAAACGTTGTGTAGGTCACGCAGACCCCCTTTGCCTGAAAGAAGCCGTTATTTAGATATTTTCTAGTCTGCCTGCCATCTTACCTTCAGTCCCTGGGGTCCTTCTGGTCCCATTGGTCCCCTAGGTCCAGGCAGGCCATGTAATCCCACTGAGCCCGGCTTACCACGTGGACCCGGTGGGCCCTGCCAAACAAGTGCGAATGCAGTGAGAACAAAACAATTGAGAAGAAAAGGCTGAAAACTAAAATTGATAAGAGAAAACATCAGCGTAATATGTACTGCTCGTTGAAATATGAGCATTGTTTGTTTCTCAACATCTGCTACACACTAAAACCAGAGGGCTTTGTGCATTGGGAGTGCTGACGTCACTAACTGGAGGCGGAAAAAAATTCAGTTTTCCCACTCCTGGCGGTGCGCTTGAGGGGCTCGCGTGGGGAAGAACTCAAATGTCGGTTGATATCACTTCACAAAATTGACACTTGTGGACATTTAGAATACGCTGCATTTCTTGGAATAAAGAAACACAAATGGCTGATGAAACTGCAATGGTCATATGGCACTTGTGTTTGAATGCGACAATACCATGCAGCGGGAAAACCTAGTACTCAAAAGTGCACAATATATCATGACAGAAGACATTGGCCCACCAGATTATTTCTCGCTGCCACCGAATATACGTTGGTATCTCAGGGCAATCGGCCTATTTTTCCAAAAAGTTTTAAGAATTTATAACATGCTGTAGCATGTGTTTGGTGGTGAATTAATCATACCAAACCAGTGATGGGTCCTTTGGCGCCTTTGAAGTGACAACTTCAAGTACAAAATGCGCGCTTTCATATTTCCCTAAGACGTGTAGCTCCGAATAATGTGACTGTGTCCTACTGCACCTGAAACATCGCTCCATCGCAATATTCCAGGATGAGTTTCAGGAAGAATTGTATTTCTTATAGTTATCAAAACGATAGCGCAAGCACCACGTACAAAGTGACAGAAGGGACTAAAAAATATGCACAAAACCTTCTTTTTTCTCCTCAAATTGTAGCCATGAATTGTTCTGTAACCCATTAATAAGTGTGCCTATATAATAACTAAAGGTTCGTTTATATATTCTAATTTACTCTAAATTGAGCTGGCTCTTGCTTTTTTTTATTTCTCGTATAAGCAAGCTTAATATCGGGTAAATTCACCTGCAGCGTATCAGTTTAAAAATAAATAAAATTCACTTGCAGAGAACAGCTGCTTCACACTCATAAAGCTGATGTACGATTAAGTCAAGCTCTGTGTAGGCGTTAACAACTCTGCCGATTTAGGGCGCAAAATGCTATCAGGTGTGCTGTAGTTTGCCTGATTTTCTTATTATAGCTTACGTAATGATGTCTTGGTTTGAAGGGGTTAAACTCCCACAATTATCAATTTGGGCTTATGTGGGTTATCTGTAACATGGTGTTTGTAAACAGTTAAATGTAGGTGAATCTTCACGCATGTTTGAAATGAGATTTATTATGAACAGGCTATACCTATACAGTGGCTGCCCACATTATGTCGTTCGCCTGTGCAACGCCGACGTGTGTGGCGGAAGGAAGGAAAGCGCAGTTGCGCAAATATTGAGCTTCGCGTTTGCGCTCCGTCCATCGCTCTGCGACTAAGACGATGAAGCTCAAGCATAGTCCTGAAAGACGGTTTCACACACTTTAGGACTCTTGCCACCTCTTAAATGCTGTAATACATGGCACCATTAACTACCTCTTTCATACGTGCGAGGAAGCTAGACGGGATAGCTCAGCCGGGTCGTAACAATTCTAGTTCACTTCTTTTCCTCTTCACTTTTTGTGATGCGCCCTCTGTCCACCATCTTATGACAAAGATCTGCCAATGCAATCGTTCAAATAAATTGCTTTATATATAAAACAGGTTCATTTATTTATATACAAGCCAATTATAACCCAAAAGTATAAGGATATTTACCCGCGTATGCTGTTTTGTAAGGACATCAACACTAGGTATGTGCAAATGCGCTCTGTATATAAAGTACATCATATTACGCTGAAGGAAACTATGTGTACATGCGAAGCAGCGGGCGCTCACATTTACACTGGTGGTGACGTTGACGCCGGCGGTCATTGCGGCGTTACGCAGGGGAAAAATCTGGGGAGGTATAAAGCACGCAGTGATGGAGCGGTGATTTTTACTGGAACATGTCAATAGCTGCTAGTGTGCGATGAGAGACAGAAGACTGCAATTGAACATATAGACCCACAGTCCGCTTTTAGTTAACGTTCACGCTGCGAATTTTATTCTTCAACAGGGAACAGGAGAAATCTCATACCGATTTTACCTTAGCGATCAAGATCCAGTGCCTGGGGTGGCCAGTGAACGGCTGTAAAGCACAAGCAGTCAGTTTTTTTTTCTTTCTCAGGGAAGTCGCTAACAGACTCTGCCTGCGTCGGCGTTGCGAGGCGAGAGAGAGGAGATATGGCGCATGCACAATGGGGGTGTAAACGCCACGCAGAGGGATGCCTAGAGGAGAAACAGGGGAAGAGGACGTGTATGTGCAGTTGAGTGCAGACGTCACCGGATCAAGCTCGCTCATTAGCCGCTTCGCATTTGAATTGGCAGCACATGCGCGATTTTGGGATCTACATGCGGAGCAACTCGTTCTCGCCTTCCTTTCCAGCTCATCGTTTCGATGCGCACCATGCGAGGTGTCTTCCATGCCTCTTCCAGAGCGGACTAAATCACGGTGTTGCCGTCGTATCAGTTCTGACAGGAATAGCCTTAGAGTAAACCTTTGCACCACCGCCTATCTCGCTGTCACCCCTCTGCGCCTCCGGCCAATTCCCAAGCGCATTGCTGACGCGCAACAGTGGTGACGCTACTATTTATGCTTTTTTTTGATCTGAACAGGCAATCTGAATATAAAATACATGAGTTCACCGCTAGTTACCGAGTCAATTATTTCCTCGAGCAGTCTATATATTACATGATCTCAACGCTGCAGCACTTTCCAACCTTAAAGCGCGACGTAGGGCTCCAACTCACTGGAGTGCATAATCTCGGAGCCTTGCGCGTGCCACTTTCTGAACAAAGAAATAAAAAATAATATTAAATATACTGATGCATTTGTATGATGTGTTCCTCTTGGTCTTATCTGTTAATTTGGTAGTTAATATTAAAAACCTGCCTGATCTCCTACAATAGACTCCGTATTACACCAAAGGAAAACGTGTAGTTACAGCGGCAGTAGATCATTTATTGTGCATTGTTTCAGAAACAGCAATAAATTTCAAAGTCAGTTTAGGAACTGCAACCTGCTTGAAACTTCCAGCCCACAGCACAAACAGAAATCAGGAATGAAATAGCGTGCACATACGACTGTCTAAGCTACCCACTTAAAGCGCACTGTTCGAACAGAAAAAATACCCATGAAGCGAGCGCACAAAATACAGAGGACCAGTGAGAACAACTGTCACAATTCTTCCTGTGTCATGTGTCAGCAGCGCGCTCCTCACTCTTTTTGTAAACGTGGCCGTGGTAGCGGGCGAAGTGGCATTCATCTTCTCCCGATTGACGAGTTTGATAAGCGCGCGAGCTGGAGACCACGCTTTGTGAAGGTGGCGCTTCGTGGAAACGACGACCTTTAGAGTGCTCTCAACGCGAGCCTGTCACGTTATCTCGCCACTGATCGCGACAACGCGTTAAAGTTTCGAACTTCTGAGGGCTTTCAAACGGTTTATGCTGTATATGAATGCCTTGTAATAAGCTTATTAGACAACGTATGCTCTGTGGCGTAGTGTAATGTTAGCACCGCACGCTTACACAGTAAAAATTTTTACACCCAGAAGGGTGTAAATGAGCTTGTCCTGTGGACGACTCCCTAAGGGTGTTAATTCAGCACCTTCCAAAAAGGGTGCTTTTTCATGCACCCTTAGAATAGGGTGTACATGTAAAAAAACTGTAGAATGTTACAAAAACACCCTTAAGGAAGGGTGCCTTCGATGTCCATCACTTTTTTAGCACCCTCTGAGGAGGGTGCGAGAAGGGTGCACAAGGGTGTTGAGTGCCCATGGCAGGGGTGCCAGTATTCTTTTAGACTGCACTAATAGATATCGGCATGCACTGATTACACACTACTTGAAGAAAGTGGTCCTGATTATCAATGGTGCGCCACCTGTCGAGCTCCATTCATTGCGTCTGGGCAAAAATATAAACGCGTACAATCGTGTCTGAACTTGTGCTGGATCTATATATACTTCACAGTATATGCATAATGTGCGTTACAGAAAATGAAGCCTTGCTGCCGTTGCATATTGCGTTTATTTAATAGGCAAATAAAACATAAACTTTTCTTCTGCCACACAACTTTTTCACCAGATATGCGTTCACGTATACGTACACTACACATGCAACATCTCAAATGTTTATTATATTTATTCACTTTCACTTCATTAACAATTCTTTGCAACATACAATTACACTGGTTTCAGTTTAGTATACTGCTTCAAGTACATAAAGACTACAAATGAAATATATGCTAATATATCCCTATAATTCTTTCAAGTATCTACAATCCCAGTGGTTTCCAGTTTAATACTCCTTCATGTACACAATCGGTTATTAGGAATGACATACAGGCAAATATATACTTATGATTCTTTCAAATATATACAATCACTATGATTTCACTATATACGCCTTCATGTACACAATCGTTCCCAAGAAGTGATGCACACAAAAATATACATGGATAGTGTTTTCAAATGTATACAATCACAGTGGATTAAGCTTTGTATTCCTGGATGTATAACAATTGGTTATGAGATATGATGTACATGCAAACATATACGGGTTTTCGCACATATAACTTTAGCGAATACTTAAGAAACCAATACAATGATCAGAAACACAATAAGCTAAAAACGAACACAAAACTGAGTCAAAACACACAAAAAACAAAAGAGGTAATGCATAATTATGGCTAATGACACAGCTGGGTCACTTTATGCCAAATGTCCCAGCCATTTTGGCAACCATCTCAAATGTATTCAAAAAACTCGTGCTGCATTGAAAATAGTGAACTTCTGGAATATTTAGGAGAGGAAAAATATTTGGTCACGTGGCTGCCCTCTGAACTTCCTGGAATGCCGTCTAGGTGTTGTATGTGAAAAATTTTATTTTAAAAGCAC